CTCGCACCTGGCTGGGGCGTCCGTCAGGACGCCCGTCCAGGCGCCCGCCGCCCGCGCTTTCTGGCGACAGCGCGAGCAGCGTGGCGCTCGTACGTGGCTGTGCCCTCCTGGCTGGGCGGCCCTGGCGAACCCCGAGGACGGCGGCGTCTTGCAGGATCTGGAGGAGGACGCCGCCCCGCCCCCCCGGCGTCGCCGACCCTTCGGCCTCGCTCATCGAGTCCTTCGACGTGCTGGAGCTCTGCTGCGGGGAGGAGGCCCGCCTCATGGGCCACCTCGCGGACAGGGGCCTGCGCGCGGGCCCGAGGATTGACATCAAGTGCCACAAGTACCTGGGACCTGGTCAACTCGCGCCTGGCAGAGGGGATCATCTGGCTGATCTGGCAGAGGCGCGTGAAGATGACTTTCTCGCAGGTGCCGTGCACCAGCTTCTCCATCGCGAGGCGCCCGAGGCTCCGGTCCAGGTCGCGGCCCTGGGGATCCGACCCGTCGTCTACCCCGACGCGTCTGGGCAACGTCCTCTTCAGGCTGGGCATGCTGGCGCTACTTGCGCACCTGCTCTCGGGCTACGGCGTTGGTTTACATGAGCATCCGCTGACGGCCTATTCCTGGTCCACACGCATTGTTGAGTTCTTGCTGTCGCACGACGTCGTGGAGCGGTTCGATCTCTCCATGTGCCAGTTCGGCGCGCCCTGGAAGACGGACACCAGCCTCTTGGCAGTGCGGGGCTCCTGGCTGGCGCCGATGTCGAAGCGCTGCCGCGGGGGCCACGCGCGTGCCATGCTGGAGGGCGGCTTGACCTCCAAAGCCGCGCTCTACCCGCACGGCTTTTGCGACGAGTTGTCCCGGCTGATCGCCGAGAACCTGGACTCCCCGTCGCAGCAGTCGGAGGGAGGAGCGCCCCCTGGAGCGTTCGAGGCCCTCTGGCTCAACGACTTCGTCAGCTCCGCCCCTCGGCAGCTGCTTGGCAGCTGCGCCGCCGCCGCCGCTTCCGCAAGCCCCTCCACATCAACCTGCTGGAGATCGATGCGGCCTGCGATGCGGTGGACGAGCAGGGCCTTCATTTCCCCGACTGCAAGCGCAATCTCTGCCTGGACTCCCGCGTCTCGATTGGGCCATCAGCAAGGGCCGCTCCGCTTCGACCGCAATCAATAAGCTCTTGAGAAGGAGGGCCCTCCTGCAGCTGGCCGCGGGCACGTGCGTCGGATGCCGCTTCTCTCCGACTCGCCTGCAGCCAGCCGACGCTCCGTCGCGCGCGCTCAACGACCCGGTGAGCGCGGTGGACAGCGGGACCGAGGCGCCGCCCCCCGCTCCGCCCTGGCTGGCCAGCCTCGAAGCCGGGGACGCCTCGGCCTTTCGCGCCCGGGCCGCGCTCCCGCTGCAGCGCCGGCAGCGCTCGCGGTGGGCTTGGCTGGTGGCGTGCTTGTGGTGGCGAGGGCTCCTGCGGCTGGCCCCCCGCCAGCGGGTGCGCGACCCCGCGCTGGGCTTACCTGGGGAGGGCCCGCGCGGCGGCGGCGGGCACGAGGTCGCGGAGCACGGCGCCGGCTCGCCGAGACGCCCCCCCCAGGGAGGTGAGCATGGTTTCATCCACTGGTCAGGTGACGGCCCGGATCCGCCCGGGTACGGCGAGCCTCCCTTGGCGGCGCCGGCTCTGCGGGCCCCTGGTGCTGCTGCTGCTGCGGCTGGGCCGCGCGGAGGCGCCGCGCCCGCCAGCGACCCGCCCCGCGGGGGTGGACCTGGCGGCTTCGCGCTGGCCTGGGGCAGGCTCGACGTGGCCGGCTGCCTGCTCCTGGGTTTCTTTGGCATGATGAGGCCTTTCGAGTTCCTGGGGCTGAGGTTCGAGGACCTCGTGCTCCCCTCTCGTTCTTTAGAGCGCTTGCAAGCAATGTACGTGCACGTCGGCGCGCCAAAAATGAGACGTCTTGGCGCGCGCCGCGTTCACATCAGGACTGACGTTCCACAGGTTCTGCAATTCTTCGAGGCCCTTTCACCTTGGTCCTCCCCTCGCTCCCCTCTTGTGCATGGTGGTGCCCGTGCCTTCAGATCCTGTCTGGATGCCCTCATGGAGTTTTTTGGAATTAAACATTCGGACAGAGTTGGCATCGCTCCTGCGTCCCTCCGCCCAGGAGGGGCCACATTCTGGTGCAGACTCACAGACTCGCAAGACTAGGTGCGCTACTGAGGTCGTTGGCTCTCCAGTCGCATGCTAGAGATTTACATTCAGGAGATAGGTGTAATCAGGCTCCTCGCAGACCTCTCTGGGCCCCAAGTAATAAGATCCTGCTTTTCGCGGAGGCTGCCAGCGACTTTCTTTTCGAGGCCACCTGGCAGCTTCTGGCTGCGAGTCGTTTGCCGAGGCCGAGCGACGTCGACCCTCGCCCTTCCGGTCCCCGTCCTCGAGTGCCGCCGCCGCTGCCAACTGAGCTCTTCGGTGCCCGCTTCACTCCTCCCGCCCCCTCCCCGTCTTCCACCATGAGCGGTTGTGGCTAGTCGAGGCCGGGCCCAGCCGTGGCCGGCCCCAGCCTTGAGCTCTCGGAAGTTTGCAGAGGCAGTGGCGAGCCCGGAAAGAATCTTCGGCCTTATGTATGTATGTATGTGTGTATGTATGTATGTATGTATGTATGTATGTATGTATGTATGTATGTATGTATGTATGTATGTATGTATATATGCGTGTGCATGTATGTATGTATGTCGGTATGTCTGCCTTACTGTCTGTCTGCCTGTCTGTCTGTCTGTCTGTATGCATGCATGTATGTATGTATGTATGTATGTATGTATGTATACACATATGTATGTATGTATGTACGTATGTATGTTTGCATGTATGTATATATATACATATATGTATATACATATGTCTGGGGAGGGGTTCCTGGGGGCCCCGGAGTTCCGGAGTGCACTGATTTCTCTTCATGCCGTTTTGGACCTGGCGGGGTGCAAAAACGCGTCAAAGGAGCGGAAGGGGGACGAAGAGAGGGCCCGAGAGACGTCCAAGAGGGCGCCAAGATGGCCCAAGAGCGCTCCAAGAGAGCCCAAGACCGCAAAAGAGCACTTCAAACTTTGTCCAACATGGCTTGAAGACAGCCCAAGAGGCGTTCAAGACGGCCAAGATGCCTTCAAAAGGACTCCCACGAGGCAATCAAGAGGCGAACAGCATAGTTTGTTTTTCAAGGGTTCCTGACGGTTTTTCGTGTTCAAGGCATCCCACGAGGCCCGAGAAGTCAGCTCAAGACGGCCCAAGAGGCAGCCAAAGAGGGCGCCACAACGGCCCAAGAGTGCCCCAAGACGGCCCAAGAGGCGCCCAAGATGGCCCAAGTGGGCCCCAAGACAGCCCCCAGAGGGGCCCAAGAGAGGGATCACGAACCGACAGTTCGAGCCTTTCAAGAGGCCCCAAGAGGCTTCAATGCCCCCAAAAGGCCCCAAGGGATCACGAACAGACAATTCGAGCCTTCAATGCCCCCAGGAGGCCACAACAGGCCCCCAAAAGAGCCCAAGAGGCCCCTAGAGGCCCCATAGAGGCCCCAAGAGGACACCAAACCTGCCTTCAAGAGGCCCTCAAGAAGCCCCCCACGAATTCCAAACGAACTTCTGAGAGGCCTTTAACCCACAACCCAGGAACGGTGGCGGGATGGGCCGAAGGCCACTCGATGATCCAACACGCCCAAGACGGCCCCGAGACGGCCCAAGAGGCCCCCAAGATATCCAAGATACCCCCTTTATCGTGGGACAACCACAGGACAAATTATCATCGGAGCAACCATCAGGACAACCATTAGGGCAACCATCGGAACAGCCATCAGGACAAGCATAGGACAACCACCAGCAAAAACCATCAGGACAACTATCGGGGCAACCATCGGGAGAACCATTGGGACAACCATCGGGACCACCATAGGGACAACCATCTGAACAAGGATGAAAAACTAGTGGGACAAACACAGGTCAGGCATGGGACTACCATCGGGACCACCACGGGACGACACTAGGACAAACACCATTCGGAACAGCCATCAGGACAATCATCGGAACAACCATCGGGGCAACCATTGGAACCTCTATTTGAATAATCATCGGGACAATCATTGGGACAACCATCGGGACAACCAACGGGACAACCACTGGGGCAACGAATTTGACAACCACGGGACAACCACGGGAAAACCACAGGACATCTACCGGACAACCACGGGACATTTCTGTGACGACCACAGGACACTTGGCACCCGACATACCGCCTGGCGGGGGTGGTGGGGAAGAGGCAAACGATGGCTCCAGTCCTACCCCTAACAAGGGCGGGATCTCTCTCGTCGTCGCGCACTTTCGCCTCGCCCGCACGTACGACACGAACCGAAACCGAAACGGATTTTCTGTCTGGACGACTCTGTTTTTCTTCGATCTCACCCCCAACCTCCGATCCAGGGTGAAGTTGCGGTCCTCCTGTGCCATAAACTGCGAGCAGTGGACATCTCGTGATAAGCGTGAGGCATTTCAGGTTTCGGCTGGTTTTAGCAGATCTTCGCCCATCCGTAGCTGAGTGATTTGCATCTTACCTACCCTTCTCCTAGTGGGCGCGCTAATACATAATGAGTTGAATTTGTACACAGTGCTGTTGTTCTGCTCAGTGATTTGTGGGAACAACAAGACTATAGGGCGAGCTCTTTAAATTGAAACTAATCCTCCTCCCTGTCCCCTCTGTCCCATTGCTCCCCTTCCTCGCCTTCCGCACGCCTTCGCACTCGCCCACTGCCTTTCCCTGCTTCTTTCAACGCCCGTTTCACGCTCCCTGATCTATTTGGGCATGGCACCCATGCAAACCGCTAGATCTTGACGATGTTCAACATGTTGTTGTAGTAATGCCCAGGCTGACTTGCCATGAGCCGGATGACGATCCAGCAGTCGAAAGAGCCGTTTTCAATTCGGATGATTTTGATTTCGGTGCTTGTGTGCTCTGGCCGCCACTTCGCGCGTGCCGTCTCGGGCCCGACCGCAGTGCAATCCAGGACGCTTGGCATCAACAAGGATGTCGTTGGCGGGGTTCACAACCTTTCGGATGCAGAGTCCACGGACATGTTCTACGCAGCTGCCCACACAGGTGCTCGGGAGGCGTGCATACGTACGCCCGTACGTACATAAAGACAGACAGACACACACACACATCCATCCATCCACCCACCCATCCATCCATCCATCCATCCATACATACATACATACATACATACATACATACGTAAATGCATGCATACGTACATACATACATACATACATTCATACGTACGCCCGTACGTACATACAGATAGACAGACACACACACACATCCATCCATCCATCCATCCATCCATGCATCCATCCATCCTTCCATCCATCCATCCATCCATCAATCAATACATACATACATCCATCCATCCATCCATCCATCCTTCCATCCATCCATCCATCCATCCTTCCATCCATGCATCCATCCATCCATCCATACATACATACACATACATACACACATACATAAATGCATACATACATACATACATGCATGCATGCATGCATGCATAACACATACATACATACATTCATACATGCATACATGCATGCATGCATGCATACATACATATATACAGAGATACACACATACATACACATACATGTATACATTGATCCTCTTACCAAGCTTTGTGTTGCCACACGCCATCATCATGCGCACTCGTGAATTGCGCATCTTGAGACCCGCGTGCTGGCTTGTCGCTTCATTTCTCACAGGGATGGCAGATTCATTTCGACGGGGCGGCCGGCTCTCGCGCACGTTCGTGTTTCAATCTGCCGCGGGATTCGAAGCCCTGCCCAGCGGCGAGCATGCCGGCTGTTCCGTGTCGCTCGACGAGTTGGTTTGTTTGTGGCGGCGGTTTTTCCGTGCCTTCCGTGCGATGTTGCCCAGTGGCATTTGCGTTGTGAGTCTCGTGCCTCTCGTGGTGTTTCTTGCGGCCTGGTAGCCCCTGCGGCGCCCCGCGTCGCTCTTCATTGCTTTTGTTCTGTGATCGGGGGCGGGGCGTATTGCACATACAGAGTTTGTGCGGCTCCTGGCGTCGCCTTGTCGTCTTATGGGATGGCTTTCTGCCTGGGAAGGTATGCCAGTTCGGCACACTGATACAGGCCGAGGAGTTATGCAAAGAGTCTTGCCTGCCATCGGCCCTTTCGGCCCGACACTTCTCTTTGCTTTCTGTGCGCGCAGGTCATCCTGTTGGTTCCCATTCTAGTTTGTCGTCTTGCGTTGCTTGCACAGGGTGCGGGGCGACGGGCACTGAAAGCAAGCGAGCGGCGCAAGAAGGCGAGTGACGAGTGCAAAGCCGGCACAATCTGCGATGCTGCGGTTTTTGTGTGTGTGTGTGCCCCGTTTCTGTGCTTCTACACGTGTCTGGCAGTCCGGGGCACACTTGTTTATTAGGACGATTGCATCGCTGAGTTTCGTTTTTGTTGCGGCCCCTGGGCGCTTGCCGTATGCCTCCGCGCTGCGCGTGGGAGCAAGCGGTATCATTACTGGATTCCTTGTGCTCTTGCGTTGTTACGGGGTGTGCCCACAAGAAGGCGCGAAGCCTTGGTGCACGATTTAGCTGCCTCGCTACGGTCGCCCACGGCCCACGGGCGTCGGGCTTCTGGCCAGACGCTGGCCGCTGCGAAGAAAATCAGGACGAAAAGCTCTGGCGAATAGGAGTCATAGGATTTTGATGATGTTGTTGATGCTGATTATGCTGATGATGGTGGTGGGGATGATGGTGATGGTGATGGTGATGGTGATGGTGATGGTGATGGTGATGGTGATGGTGATGGTGATGGTGGTGGTGGTGGTGGTGGTGGTGATGATGATGATGATGATGATGATGATGATGATGATGATGATGATGATGATACTGCTGCTGATGATGATGATGCTGATGGTGACGATGACGATGACGATGCCGATGATGATGCTGATGATGCTGATGGTGATGATGTTGATGCGGGATCATTGAAGGATTTTTTTGAGCTGAACTTAGACATCAGTTTTTGTGGCTAGTTCGGAGGCACTTCGGTTGCGTTGGAAAGGTTGAACAAGGGTGGGGAGCAGAAGTGATTTCGATGTGTACGGTGACGGTGATGCAATGAGGCGCGACGTGGGAAGCTGTCAATGGAGGCGCGCATTGCCAGTCTTGGGCAAGCAGGCAAGACACCACGCCCGACCGAGCCTCTCGAAACGGCGGCTCGCCTCACTCGTGGGTGGGGGTGGTGGTGAACAAATGGGGAGGACGTGTGACATGTACTGTGGCAGAGAAGCGATCGCGCCAGGCGTCAATGAGGGGGACGATGATGCTGCTGCTGCTGCTGATGATGATGATGATGAGGAGGAGGAGGAGGAGGAGGATTATGATGGTGATGGTGACGGTGACTGTGATGGTGGTGGTGGTGATGATGATGTTGAGGATGAGGAGGATGAGAATGAGGATGGTAATGATGCAGATGATGCTGCTGCTGTTGCTGCTGCTGCTGATGATGACGATGATGATGCTGACCATGATGGCCATGATGATGCTGATGATGATGCTGATGATGCTGGTGATATTGATGGTGATGATGATGCTGCTGATGATGACGATGATGATGATGATGATGATGCTGATGAGGACGAATATTAGGAGGATTTGGATGCTCATGATGCTGATGCTGATGCTGATGCTGATGCTGATGATGATGATAATGATGATGATGATGATGATGATGATGATGATGATGATGATGATGATGATGATGATGATGATGATGATGATGATGATGATGATGATGGTGAGGATGATGGTGGTGATGATGCTGACTATGTTGATGCTGCTGATGATCATGACGCTAATGCTGCTGTTGCTACTGCTGCTTCTGATGATGATGGTGGTGGTGATGATGATGATGGTGGTTGCGGTGGTGCTGTGGGTGGTGGCGGTGGTGGTGGTCATGGTGGTCGGGGTGATGGTGATGGTGTGATTGTGATGGTGATGGTGATGATGCGGAGGAAGAAGAGGAAGAGGAGGACGAGGAGGAAGAGGAGGAGCACGCAGACTAAAAGAGTCCGTCACGCGGAGCGCTAACGGCCACTACAGAGGGCACGGGTTGATCTTATCCCGTGTCAGCGCTAGCACCGCGCTGACCCCAGTGCCCATTCAAAACGGGATCGCGGCCGGGACAGCTTGCAAGTGCGAAAACTCAAGGACAATCTAGTCGAGCAAGGTGACAACGAACAAACGAACAAGTGAACAAAGCTGCAGCCAGCGCAGCTCGGGGTCAGTGACCTTCAATTTTCGCTGGCACGAGAGACCCTCAGGCCTGTGCTTTTCCACATTGCGACGGTTAGTAAGGATCTATGGATATGCGAAGCAGCACGCGTACGACATGGAGGCGGGGGGCATCTATCATGCAGAGCAGATGATTTGTATAATAAGACGCCATGCCGATCAATGCCGTTGCTGAGGCACGTAGCCGACCAGTGCTGCTGCTGAGGCACGTGCCTGAACTTTCGCACGTTGTGTCCGAGATCTCCCAGTCGGTGCTGTTAATGGCGTAGGACCCGCGTCATTGCTGTTGTTGCTGCAAGCTGCCGGCGAAGCGACACGCAATGATTTCCCAGATGTGGATTGAGCTATCCGTCCATAGCGGGGACCGGGTCGTTTTTTCTTTAACGATTTAACGACATGTTGGTTGGTACCGCGCCTATGGCTGGGCATGCTGTCACTGCTCGCCTATTTACTCAGAGCATCTGCAAGGTTCCATGGCGTCTCCACTTCGATCACTTTTGATCAAAGCTGACTTCTCTTAGTCCTCTCCTCTTTCTTGTCTCCTACCTCCCACCTGCATTTTACTTCGCCTCGTTGGGGGCCGCCAACCGCGCAAATGCTGCCATTTTCGAAGGTTCCTCAGAGGTCCAGCGGGGAAACGCCTTACGCAAACCCAAAGAAGACCTCACCTCCCTGGTCGTTGACAGCTGCTGGGAGACCCAGCGGGGCGACGTATTGCATGGTTTAGAAAACCAAGTGCATGCCACAATCGACGTCGAAGTCTTTAAAGCCTGCCTCTAGTCCTCAAGCTGCTGGGCCGCCTTGTACCATTCCGTGATAATTTGTTTTTTTCCAGAACGTAACGACCTGACCTTCTTAGCCGAACGCCACGACTTTCTATACATAATCATATCTGCATTACTGTTCCCCCGCTTGTTGACTTACGTGCTATCTTTCAGCCGGCAGACTTGGTGTCAGTCCATTTGGTTAACTCCTTCGGACGTTCTGGATTCAAGTACTGTTTCCCATATCTCGTGTGGATTTCGAGGTTTCTGCGCAGTTTTGTCAGGCTTTTCCATGCCCCCCTCGGGCTAGGGGGGGCATGGATCGCGCTAGCTTCTGAACAGCGAATGCTCCTCCGAACGGTTTAGTGCTAAATCGTTCACCCTGGCCACCGAGGCTTGGTATTTCTTTGTTTAATGGCTTGCTCGGGGGTCTTCTTCTTCTTCTTCTTGCTTCTTCTTTTCTTCGTATTACTAGTGTTAGTGTGATTATGATTATGAGTATGATTGTGATCGTGCTTGTGATCATGATAATGCTTCCGATTATCATGACTTTTAGTATTTTTATTATTATAATATTTCTATTAGTATTATTGGTATTATTGTTTTTCATTGCTAGGATTCTGATTATGATACTGATTATCATTATGGTTACGATCATGATTATGAGTATGCGTCTTGGTATTGTTCTTTCCTTCTTCTTATCATTGGTTTGTTTATATTTGTATTAGTTGTATGATTACCTAACAGCGAAGACTGATAGGTTTCTAGTGGTCTCAAAAGAGCTCACAGATCACTCCACAGGGGGGTCCGGGCAGGTGTTGGGGCGTTTCCGGGCGGCATGAGCCGGGCTCGTTTTTCACCAACAGTCACACACTTCGTGCTCTTCGCCTTCCCAGAACTCCATTCCCAGGCCACATTCTGGGGGGCCGGATGCAACTGTAGGCCACTTCGTGCTCTTCGACATCCCAGAACGCCATTCCCGGGCCACATTCTGGGGGGCCGGATGCAACTGTAGGCCACTTCGT